GGCGCTCTATAGCTTTAGGAGTCCCCTGTATTTCCGGAGGGAGCGTTATATTAGGGGGCGGCTCGGTACTGCTACGGTGTAGGTGTATAGCCTTTATAACTCTGCCTAGGTTCGACCCTAGTCCCTTATAAAGGCTTTCCTCGGGGCCGTGTTTCTAGCTTAAGTCGTTAGGGCGTTAAGTTAGGCTATCCACGTAAGGGCTATATAGGTCCTATAATACCGATTCGGTACCGCTAGGGCTCTCGCCGCGGCGTATACTCCGGCTAATATCTTATCTTCGGTTCCCTCCTCTTATATCCGGTAGACCTTCCGGGCACTTAGGCTTATAAGGTATAAGTTAAGGGGGGGATAAAGGTCTCTTTTTCGAAGACCCTAACCGGCGTAGCTTTATAGGCTCCGGATACTAATCGGAGGCACCGGTTCTATGCCGTTATACGTACCGCTACGGGGCCTTACCGGGGGCCGGCCCCTATCTTATAGACGGTCGAAGCGTAATAGATAATTACTAATCGTATTACTATAAGGTATAGTCTTTTTATATCCGCGAAGCTATACCCCTATACTACCGCGCTAAGCCTTGAAAGGGCGTATATCTAGGTAGTTAGGCGGCTTTTTACCTTTTTAGTGTTTTATCGAAAGTTAAGCTTCCTATCGAGCTCAATACCTAGGAACTTTATCGCCTCCGCCGCCGGCACCGAAGTAGCACTAAGGGGAAGCGGAGTAGGTAAGGGTTAGCGTGACTTCGTAAAAAGGATATAGATATACTTAGCTAATTCGAACTATAGTCCGCTCGTAGTCTTTTATTTTAGGTATATCCTCTACGCGGCGGCGAGGCGGTACCGCGTCTATACCTCCGTCCTACTAAAAGCGATAATATTTATATTATCGGTAAAACCTACTGCTATTATTTTAAGGACCCTTTCTAGCTTTTCGTATAGAGTAGAGATATAGAGGATAAAAAGGATAAGGGAGATCGGGGAGCCTTACGGTATACCCCTATAAAGGTACCGCGGGGGGCTATTTCGCTATTAAGTAGTAGCTAGGCTATACGGTCCCGGAGGAAGCTATTAATTAGGGTATTAAGCTATTAGGGGTAGCCTTTCCTTTCGAGTACCTTAATAAGGCGGGAATAGGAGATAGTGTTAAAGGCGCTTTTAATATTTAGTTAGAGTATCGAAACGGTGCCGCCGTAGGCCTAGCTCGCCTTTACGGCCTCCGTGGTTTTTTATACTATCGTTTTTATATTTCGCCCTATCCGGTTACCTATTTATCCCTCCGGGAGGAGCCGGTACTCCTCCGCTACGGTCGTGATCCGGTAAGTAAGTATCCCCTTAAAGACCTTACTTATCGTGTTAAGGAGTAATATCGGTCGTTAGCCTTTTACTATCCCGTAGTTAGCCGGCGGCCGACCTTCCTTCTTAAGGACTACTACGGTAGCGTAGCGGCACCTTTTCGGGTAATAGCTCGCTATAAGGCACGCTATAAAGATAGCGCTAAGTCTTCAATATAGGGGGGGTCTATATACTTTTAGGAGCCTTACTAGTAGTTTATCGGGGCCTAGTACCGCCTAGGGTTTTATCTTCTTAAGGCGCCCTTATATATCCGCTACGGTAACGTCTTAGCGGATATCCTACCCTAGGGGGGACTCCGCGCCTAAGGGCCTAGGGACGGTAAGGAGGAGGGGGGGGAAGAATTTCCGGTTTAGGACCTCGGCCTTTTCTACGTGTATAGTTACCGGGTAAACGCTATTATCTTAGTATAGTAGTAGTATTAATAAGGGGTCCGGTAATACGTACCCTTTAATTCGTGCCTATTTTTATAGCCGCTAGAGAAGGCTATTATCCTTCCCGGTTAAGTAGAGTAGGTGCCGCTAATACGTCCGCTTCGCTACCGCCACGGCCCTATCCTAGCGCCTCTCCGCTTCCTAGAACTCGTCGTATCGGTTCCGGGACTTCCTAGATATATATTTACGGTAAAGGCGCCTTACTTCCTAGATAAGGGTGGTTAGCTCCGCGTTCTATTAAGGGGTGGATAAGCGTTTAGGGGTACCCCTATAATAGCGCGGCGCGGCCTTATCGGCTATAGTCGTAAGATCTACAATTAGGTTATCTAGTACTAAGTCGATATCTTCTAGTAATATAAGGGGGCCGGTCTATTATAGCCGCGTAGTAGCGAGCTAGGGGACTCATAAGGGGTTAAACTCTTTCTAGACCTAGCGGGGCCTAGCTAAGTCCTGCGGTAGTATTATCGCGGTAGTCGGCGACGCGTCTATCTCTATAAGGATTCGGACTATTTATAAGTAATAGTTAGACCCGATAATAGTTTTATCCGGGCGGCTAAAATCATAGCGGAGCCTTTACATTACTTATATAAGGTTAATAGTGCTAGCACGCTAGCCTAGGCGGTACTATATAGTTATTCCGGGGGGGGTTATTAGGTTAAGGTTCTACAGGGTTATAAGGGTAAATAGGGTATCGGCTTAGGGGTAATACCGCGGTGGCTATAATTATAGGGGGTAGTATAGGTTAAAGTCCCCTATAAGGACGTATCGGCCCTATAGTAGTACTATATCGAATATATCTTATAGGGGCGTATTTTAGGGGATCCTAGCCGATTAGTAGTTCTCTAAGTAGATCGACTAGATTATCAGGGTATTATCTCCCGTCCCGAATATAACCGTATAGGTATCGCGGTAGGCCCGCTATATCTATATATATAGCGGGTATCCTTTATAGATATATAGGAGGGCGTGGCCTCCTCCTTAGATTAGCTGGTATACCCCTTAGGAGGGGTATACGGGGCTTTTCGTGAAGCGGTTAAGGCCGGGTTCCTAAATTACTATTATATTATACTCGGCGTAGTACCGGAGCGATAGCTCCCGCCGCGCCTAACTCCTCCCTATATTCTATAAAAGGATATAGATTTCTATTACTTAAAGGGGGGGGGGGGGGGTTAAGATAATATACCCGGTATAACCGGGGTCTAGCTCTAGGGTTCCTACTACGGTACCTTATCGGCCTTACGGGGGACTATATAGGTATTTATCGGGCCTAGTATCGGGGAGCCCTCCTATCCCTTAGTCCTTTTTAGGGGCTAACCCTTACCTTTATGGGGGGGTTAGTCCTAGTCCTAGGCGATAATAATCGGGGGAAAGATCTACGGCTACCTCGGGTATACCGCTTCGGTCTAACAGGTAATATCGAAGTCCCTAGCTCGGTACTTATACGCTTCGCGGGTCTTCTTAGCCTCCTTCTTTAATAGTCGGTATAAATCGTTAAAGGTATCATGGTCTCCGGTATAAGCGGCGTAACGGCGGGGGCGCCCCGGCGCCGTAGCTTTATAATATCCTAGGCCCTAAGGGTATACCGATTCGGGCTTAGTATAATAGCGGTATACCCTCTCCGCTATAGGGTAGCTATTCGCTTAGTAGCCGAAGTATAGGTATTTATAGTACCTTAGGGGGCTAAGGTCGGGGTTATGTAGTTTATAGATATAGCTACCCCTTTTAAAAAGGAGGGTATTCCGGATAAGGCGTATTACCCCTTCCGGCGAAGCCGATGTAATAAGCAGGAGCGCTACCCTACTAATACTATAGCGGGGTACCCGTTATCGTGCTTAGATAATTTTTGCCTCGGGGTTTATATCCTCTAGGGATACTAATAGGTCTTCTTCGGATAAGGCGTTAAGGACCTCCCGGGGGATAGCCTTAGCTAGTATAGGGTAAGTATATACGGCTAGGGTAACTCCTTTACTAAAAGCCTTCTTAATCTATTATTCCTTATAGGTAGCCTATTATTATACCCTTTCGGTAAAGGTAAGGTAGATATCTCCGCTTAGTAGCTTCCGTGCCGCTATAGTATTATATCGGGTAGTTATAGCATTTATAGCTTAGATAATCTCCTTTAGAGTCCTATCCTTAAGGGGCTAGTCTTCGGGGAGGGTTCCTTAGCGGATAATTAGTTCCCGGTAATACTTAGCGGGGATTACTTTAGGGGGTATAGGGTCCCGCGGCGGTATCGTTACGGGAGCCCGGGCTATAATATCAGCCTAAGTCTTTTTCGTGCCGTTGATCCTTTTTCGGAGTTCCTCTCGGATAATATAATAAACGGTAGCGTATAGGTACGCTAACGGTATCGTACCGGTGTCCTTACGGGTACTACGTATCGTAATTAGTTCCTCTACTAGCTCTACGACCTACTTAATCGTATTCCTATTAGCTAGTAAGGCCTGAATTTCTGCCTTAATCTTAGTTACTCTTAGTTCCGGGGGGCGTGATAGTCCCCTTTCGGTCTTATATCGGTTCCGCGCTATATCCTGCCACGGGCGGGGGGGGAGCGCTTATATTATAAGAAGTAGGTCCATTACGAATTCTGTATAGTTAAGGCCAGGGCGATACTATCCCACGACTCTTCCGGCTATACCGTAGCGCCGGTATTACGGTACCGCTATAATAGTATCATGGGAGGGAGGTAATAGTTATAGTCTCTATCTCGATAATTTTATCGATTTTACTCTTATTACGCGCCCTTGGTTATTAGGCATGTCGAATGATTTTTTATCCTTAGCGTAGTATCTCTAAATTAATTATATTAAAGCCTTAAAACGTTATAAAAACGTGTATATATAGGAGGCAATATTAACACCTGATAATCCTATAGATATCTACCTTCTATACCTAAACACGTAATCGGCTATTAGGTACTTCTAGCCTAAGGGAGTTCAATATAATAGTGTATACCTTGTATACTACTACTATATAATTAAGATCTTAGTTACTCTAAGTATAAAGAAGTAAGAAAAGAAACTATAAATCCGAACTATATTAAATATACATATATATATATATATATATATATATATATATATATATTAATTATTGTAGAACAATTATACAAAATATAACTTTTACAAGTATAAAGTCTACAAGTAAAATAGTTATAGTAATATATACTTTTCTAGATCTAAAGGACTTTTATAGAGGAAAATAGTTTATTTTATATACTTTGTATAAAACTCTTATTTCTCTCCTCTCTTTATACTATCTCCTACAAATTTAGAAAACACCATTAGATGCCTTGTTGAAGAGGATGGCCATGTCCTTAAATAATATTCCACTCAGTCGCCGATAGAAACTCGGTACAAATTGTGTTGGAATGCAGCGGTCCTGAATGTGTCGAGGACGCCCCTTGCGGAAAGAGGTTGAGAAGTCCAGATCTCTCTGGTGTCTCGTCGACTACGAGCAATCCACAAGTGTAACCTAGTCCCACGAGACGTCCGCTGAGACGCCATGGAACGCCAGCCGCTTGCCAAAACCAAAAAGAGGTTCAAATCGTTCCCTGGCCCGATCAATCAACAAAATACGATTCATAACGGTGGGCCTACCAAAATACCAAACTCAATTGTTTGTCTGAGGGAGGCATTCCGATGGTCATGTCCTCCCTGATACCTCAGGATACCACATGCGAGAATTCAGTCCTCCCAGCTCTTTTCCACCGTCTCTCGGACGCGCTTCTGATACTCCTTGCGGTTGTCCTTGTAGAGGTTCGAAGCTTCCACGTTCGCCGGGGAGCCGGTGTTTGGATCGTTAAGTAGACTGCCAATCATGTCAACCCCGACTGATACCACGTGCTCGGCCTTGACATCAAACACCTACCTCTGGATGCTTGTTAATACCGCTGCTACGTCGTAAGTCGGGCTCCAGCGATTCTGTAAGATGTCGAGACAAAGTTCTCCAGTGGCATAGACGTTGGGATGGAACATCTGACTGATGAATTTGACGGCAGGGGGCTTATTTGGATACTGTTCTTCAAACTGCATCACGAGCCTGAAGGTGCCGTCTTCGAAGGGAGTCTCACCAGGGCCAATGATGACAGCGTTCCTGGTTCATTATGTTAGGCACCGGAATTTCTCTTCTGAAGTGCAGAACGCGAGCTGGACATACCATGTCATCACATTGTCGGGAACCGGCGAAGCAGATACGCCAGCGGGAGGATCGGTCTGCATGCGCTACAACTCCCCAAATTACCCCTAGTTAGTTATGGGAAGCCATGTGCAGTTATAATAGCCAGAGGATCTGATTCGGTACTGACCTTGAAATCACGCATGAGACGCCGCCTGGCGGCTGTCGACATCTTTTGGGCCGGATCTTAAAGAGGTGCAACGCAAGAAGTGGCAAAGAAACCCGAAATACAAGGTGAGTAAAGTAGTGTAGCGCTCTAAGACGAGCAGGCAGTTATAAAGATGGTTCACTGTCTCTGAAAGGCGGGTGTAATGTTAGAAAAGAGGCCAGGTGCCTAGGCGTTGGTATCTGACGAGGTAGAGGGCAGCGTTGGGGGATAACAGATGGCGGGGGAAAGAGACGAACTTCATAAGAACTGTCAGATGCCCTCAGCCACCTTATCAAGGTATGATAAAACTATCTTATATGACCTTACCGGGAAAATGGGGTACCAAGGTATAGTTGTAGTACAGCTATACATAGCTGCTATACACGGGTGTATAATTGCAGGATTGTATAACGGTGTAACGGCTATCGCTATTGCTTGCTGTTACACGGAGTTGTAGGGGAAAATACATTTCTAGATATTAAGTATTATATACACTATAGTAATTTATATCGGAGATATAATATTAGCTATTAAAGGCGGAATGTATTACTCTATACTAACATCTATAGGGAATACCTTAATAGAGAGTCCCCTAGAATTTATCCTTTATCTTTATTTTTATCGTCTGCTTTATACTTATTATCCATATATCTATCCTTTACCCTTTACTCTGCCCTCTGTTATTCTTTTTACTGCCGCTACTTCTATTGACTTAACCATTGTTCGTCTTCATTATAAAGACTAACGAGATCTATATTATCGGGCGAGTATTATTCTTGTTTGGCGACTTAGGCTTAGGCTTAGGCGGCAGCGGCGGCGGCGGTATTCTTGGTAGCAAATTCTTCCTATTAAGCTCGTTTAGCGGCCTCTATATTAGCTATTTTAGCCAGAAATCTTTAGAAGAGTCTTTCCCCCTACTCTTCGGTAGGTTGTTAGGGTTCGTTATATAAGGATATAATACTATAGTTATATTAATATAGGTATATATATCTAATAGCCTATAGACTTATAAAGTGATAACGATAATAATAGTACTGGTAGTAGTGCTGCTACTACTATCATTATTTAATTATGCAGATTTAATTTACCGATCGCATAGATAGAAATATAACAAAAAAGTCATTTAGTTAAGAACCCCGTAACAGCTTTTAGTATTTACTTACAATACACCTTAGTAGTAATATAGCTAGAATTCCGTCCCTGTGACTACCATCGTAATATTATTATATATACTATACAGCCGCGAGTAAATATAACAATTATTATTATTAAGAACCGTAATCCTAATTCTGGCCCTAACTAAGCTGCCTTTATAATACCCTTTATGCTCTAATAACGGGGACGGAGAGATTATAGGTGTGAAGGTGAGTTACATAGTATTATAGTATCTATTATCTCGGAATCTATTATCTCGACTCTATCGTCTCGGGTTCTATTATCTCGGAGTCCTCTTCCTAATCGTAAATACTATTATATCTACTAAAGTGATACTAATCCGACTAACTGCTCTATTACTGCTAATTAGAGGGATAAGTGCCGAATTAGTACCGTTAACTACCTAGCCAAGGACTTAGTTACTAAGAAATAGGCTAAGGAGGACCTGGCTAAGAAGGGTTAAACTAATACTATTATCGAACCTGCTAGATAGGCTAACCGCGGTAAAGGCCGAGGGGAAATCTAAGCAGTTTACTACTACCTCTACGATAACCCGTGCTATTAAATCCACTACCACCTATATAGACGAGGTTACTAGACTTACTACTAGGGGTAGTAAATAGAGGCCTATCTTTAGTAGGAGAGCTAGATCTAGAGTCCGACCTGAGGAAAGGGGGTTATCGAGTAGGAGTAGTATTAGACCTAGAGAGGCCGGTCGAGTTAGACCCAGGCAAGGAATAAATAGGGTTAGCTAGAGCATAGGGCGTATAGCTAGTAAGCCGGGGGGGGGGGGCTTCTTATTATCCTGAATATAGCTAGCTGAAATTCTATTACTACGACTAATATAACGCCGTTTTACCGGGGTAGTATACTTGGTGAATATCTTCTTATCCATAGCGGTACAATAGGGATAAATAGTAAGGGACTTATACGTTTCGATAATCCTTTTACGGAAGATTAAATTATTCTTATAAGTCTTACTAGTAGCCGTATTAGTATTTAGAGTACTCTCCTTATTAATTAAGGTGAAGAATATAGGTATAAGCGTATTGAAGACGATACGAACGAAATTAAATAGGAGACTATCGCTATCGTGTAATATAGTATTAAAGTCTATAGTCTCAGTAACGACTTTATAATAGCTCTAGATAGTCGAACGTGTTAGGCCTTATAGTAGTAGCTGCTTTAGCTAGCTAGTAGCGTCGTGATTATAAAGAAGATCATTCTCGTAGAGTATAAGACACTCGGGATACTCCTTCGTAAACTCCTGGGTAGATCTATATATAGATAAATAGATACTTATGCTAGAAGTCGCGATACTAGTTATCATAAAGGGTACGAAGAATATAGAAGTCCCGAGCACTTATCTAATATCCTACGAAGACTTTAAAGATAGTATCGACTATAAACTGGTTCGCATAGAAGATAATTTGGTTCCTCCGGTACTTAATATCCAACTATAGCTATAGAGCCTCTTTATTATCGAGAAATAGATAGAATAGAATATAATCGGGTAGTCTGCTTAATAAGTATTCCGAGCCAGCACCTTATTAGTTAGGTTTTAGGAGCGTAAGATAGTTACTAACGAGATTAAAAGAGATTTTCTCCTCGGGGGTATTCTTTAAAGCAATAGCATTAGCGCGGTATGTTTTAAGATAGAGGTAGAGATATTTAATAAAGAACATGACTATAGTCTTATCGGCGTTCATAGAACGGGGCTGCTATAGGTAGGTAGAGTATTCACGACGAGGAGTATACTAAGGACTACTGCTAATCTTAGCACCGCTATAATAAGTTTACTACTACTACGGCTATAGCTACGGCTAGGGCTTATTACGTTAACGTTAGCACTAAACGAGATCACGAGATAGAATATCCGTAGGGATATTACTATGCTACGTGCCCTATATATATATTAGCATTAAAACTCCTAAGGCTTAACTAAACCAAGGTAGTAAACTGTTCTTACTAAGTAAGGGTCATCTTTAGGTGTATAAGAACTAGATTATTTGGATAGAGTAGGCGTATAAGAGCCCTGGCTACCTAGGCCCCGTGACTATAATAGACCTTACTGTTAACCACGGCCTCCACGGGCGCCTCCTATCGCATGTCAAAATAGCACTTGTATGATAATTATAGTGATAATCCTGATAGAGTAGAAACCTTGTGTGTTTGTATTATGTTAAGTTATATCCCTAAGAGTCTTTTATCTCTTAATTTGGGTAGTGTAGACTTTGTCTGTGGGTACGACGTTACTTGGATTCTATCCGGTCTTTCCTGGTATCCACCTTTATTATATCCTGATCCCTAAGGTCCGAAGCCCTTAGTCAGGCATAGATCCTCTAAAGACCACGTCGTGGTCCTATGCCTATACGATATACCCTGTTAGTTAAGGTAGGTCTTCCCAGATTAACTGACTAATCAGAGGCTTTAATATGCCCTGTCTAGGCATATCTCTGGCCAGCCAGTACTATCGGACCTAGGGCTTCTAGGGTTCGGAATGGCGACCTTTAGGTATAGAAAATAGGGTGTAATAAAGATATCTTCTTCTAAACTAAGGGGGGACCGCGCCGAGGATATATCCTTTAGCCGGTTCGGCCTAAATATAATCCTTACTACCGATCCTACGCTATACGTATGGATAGTCTAGGCGTTATTCGTTCTCTATCTATACGAATAGTACTAGAGCTATACGTTCCCTATCTAAGCGAATAGCTCCCGCGCTATCCGTTCTATAGTAGGGCGGATAGTACTAGCGCTATTCCTGCGGAGGCTAGGGAATAGGGCGTATTATATGCCCCGGGCGATAAAAGCCCTGCGTCCCGCGGGCGTTCCGTGTCGGGATAATAGCGCCGGGCGCGCGAACTATAACGCGCCGATATAGGATTTATTAGCCGCACGGTAGCTTATTTAGCGGCTATAGGCGCGGGATAGTGTTCACGATAGAAAGGAAATAGTGGGTATAGTAATATAATATATCACGCCGACTACGCGTTATTATTACTCCGTATAGGCTATAAAAAAGAGGAAAATAAACGCGTAAGTAAGTGGAGATTAGGGAGTAATTAGGGGAGCTAGGTTATAGATAGGGAATATGGGAAAATAAAATAGAATAGTAAGAAAAACACAGACTAAGCTAAACCGTTTATACACCGTCACTATAATACCTAAACCCTATACTATACTAAGGACTGATATACCTATACACTAAACGCTAGTGCCTAAAACGTATACTAGATTATAAATATCTCCTAATATTCCCCCGGCCGATATTTACTTAGATCTCTATAACCTCTAGTGGCTACGGGTTAGCGTCGGGGAAACCCTAATATAAGACTTTACGATTTAGGATCCTGGCTATATCGTCTTCCGTAAGCTTAGCCTTTTACTTCTCCACCGTTTACTATAAGATCTCGTATAAGACTACGACGCCTTTCTTCCTATTGGATTCGTAGTAGCGTGCCACGACTACGGCGCGCCGGATAACTGCCTCGGCGAGATCTATATTATCGATATACTATGTAGCTAGGTATTCGCGCTTATTATCGTCTAGAGCGCTAAGGAGATCTAACTTTACGAGGTAAACTAGGTTCCCTATATACTAGAAGCTAACGAGTAGGTTTAGCTTAGCGGCGTTCTAAACGTTATAGTTTACCACGTGCTTATTCAGGAAGGCGGCCGCCTAGATAACGGCCGGAAAAGGTAGTATAGCGGCGCGTAAGCGCTATTTAATCTCTCTGAACGTCTAATCCCTATACGTGAACTCGCTAAATTTAACTAACTAGGAGGGGTTATTTAGATTAGCGGCGAAGCTCTTAGCCGCCTAGGTGTATAGGACTTTTTAGCTAAAGCGTGAGAATATACGCTTCGCTAAGGGAGATAAGGTATAGCCTTAGTAAGGGCGTTTAGTGCCCGTAAGGGGTAAGGGAGCGTTTACGGTAGTAGTCGCCGGTGCACTTAGCCGTAACCTAGTACGGACGGCGGTAGCCCTTTAGATACCTAGTACCGGTATATTCTATAGCGATTATAGGAAGTTCTCGACGACGGCGATACGGGGCTTTATATTAGCCGGGTAGTCTGCTATATTATAGAGGAAGTCCGCTCTACTAATATCGTTATTCTATA